AACCCTACAATCCAACAGTAGATAAATTTTTATAATGGCAACAAATGTTCGCTCATTCCTTTCACTTGATATGTTAGTAAAAACTGCTGCCTTTGATGATTATAGATGTTTGCTATGTCTCTGATTTTTTAGTGATGTTAAATTTAAACCACTGTGAAACACATTAACATTTTAAGTGTTCAAATATAATTACTGAGTAGAAAGATTCTTCCATTTTACTGTGCTATGCTTCGGGATATTCATTAAACTTTATAATATATCATGAGGTGTGCATCCCTCATAACTTGCTGAATCAGGAATGGTTATAGTGGGCTGAGGATTCAAGAATGCCTGAGGCAAATGTACAAAGTGGGTGGAATCTGTCTCTGCAGGCACGTCTAGGATTGCTCTGTATTCTCATGTGTGCTGTGACAGTGCACTGTTATGTACACATCCCCAGTCCCACTAAAGGATACTGCTGTTGTTCTCCACTTTTTAAAAACACACTTCCTTCCTCTAATCATAATTACCTGCCCTTGTTAGCTTAAAACCTTCTTATCCGAGGATGATGAGTTCCTAATCTATTGAATATTAATGTGGCAATGTTACTGATAGGTCATGATTAACTGAATGAGATGTTTCAAAATTTAGGATTTAAATGGAAGAAGCACACCTGAAATGAAAGAATTTTCCATGTTATAGTGGACCTAATGGAGAAATGAGGATGGGTAATACCAAGAGAGGGTTCAAACCCTGAAATTGCATGCTCATGCTTACTAGTTAAGCAAAAAGCTACTCTCAGAATAGATGGTTCCCTTTGTCCCACATTGCTACTGCACTTGGGACACCTGCTGGCTCACCTAGCATTGTAAAAGCTCTTTGGTTGGTGTACTGCCACTTCATCTTAAAGGGGTGAACGAGTCCCTGGTGCCTTTCCACAGCAATGCAGGTCATAGTGAGAATTTCGGTCACAATAGCAGTAGACTGGACAAAAGGCACCATCTTGCAAATGAAGGCACCTGCAGCAAGGAGATAAGACAAGTCATACATCAGAAAGAATAAAGTTTTGTCTGTCTCTTTGTAATTATCAAAGTTGGTCATTGCAGAGCATTTGCTCAAAAGCTTCATGACTATAACTGTATTGAATCAAAATAATTGAGAAAGTTTTCATTGCCTTATGCTTTCATTCTATTACTGCATTGTTAGTTCCCAAGTGCTATGTAACTATGTATAATAAAAAGACGGAGAACCAACCAGTATTTAGCTATTGACAATAGGTCAAAGAAAAACATCAGATCAGTCTGATCATTGCTCGGGGGAAAACAAAGTCAATGTGAACGAGTCTCCTGGCCTCTATACTACAGAGTAACCTTTGATTTTTCATTCCTTTTGATTCTCTGTCATATCAAAACAAAGGAAGAGTTCTCATCAAAGACTCTTAGATATTCTTTTATTTTTATTCTCCTTTTACTCCAAGTCTAAAACTTTATACCATTACATGCCATTTAAAATTTGGAGAACCTAGTCTGTGCATCTCTGCTCTTGAGTCCATCTTGCTCTCTGCTTCCAAATGATTTATTTCCAACTATCAGAAAATCGAAACCTCAGGGCATGCAAACTCAGAAGCCTTGGAGGCCACGCATTCCACATGTGCACCAAAAGCAGACATTTTTGGCTGATCTTCTCTCACTAATGCTCTGCCCACCTCTGCCTCAGTACTTCTAGAAAGGCTCCTAGACTGAAACCTCCAACCAAAGGTCTTTGCATGGTTTTTCCTCCTTCTGGGGCTGCTGTTGTCTAAAGTAACTCCCTCACAGAGTTCACTGAAGTCTTCACTGAAATGGCCCTCGGATATTTAACTCTATGTCAATTTGACTGAGCAAAGATGGCTGGGAAATGCTTTGGTTGTGTCTGTAGATGTGTTTCTGGCAGAACTTAGCATTTGTATCGGTACAGTCAGTAAAAGGGATCACCCCAGTATGGACGTCATCATCCAATCCATTTGGCACATGAATAGAAAGTCCAGCGGAGAATGGAAGAAGGGGAGAACTTTCTATCTGCTTAAACTGGAACATCCAGCTTTTCCTACACTTGGACATCAGCCCTTCTGGATCTCAGGCCTTCAAGGGTGAGCTAGAGCCACACCAGATTTTCTGCGTCTCTGGGTTACCGACAGCAGAGTGAGGGTGTCGTAGTTCCCATAATCATGTAAGCCAATCCTTCAAAATAAATCTCTTCTATATACCTCACAGATCCTGTTCACTTATTTTTCTTCCGGAGAACCCTAACACACTCACCTTGTCAGTGTGGCCAACCTAATCTAACAGCTATATGTTTAATGGCAGCTTGTACTCTCCCTTTATCATCCTTTTATTGTTTATTGAAACTCTTCCTATCTGTACCAGAATATAAATACCCAATCGCAAAGATTTTTGCCTGTTTCCTTCACTGATATATTCCTAACATTTGGAGTGGCACAGAGTAGGCCCTCAATACATATTTATTGAACTGAAGAGAAGTAATTACTAAGGGGCCCTGAACCTCCAAAGGAATCCCATTCAATGATGAAGAGCTCCTAATAAAAAGGTACTTTTCGGTTCTAACCATTCCTAGTGTTACTTTCAGTCTCAATACTAAGCAACTGTCTTTTCCAAAAAGCTGCTCCTTACATATTTGAAAGAAGCTTTGTGTCAAGGCTTGTCTTTTCTAATTACCCCAGCCATTTCTCATTTGCTTGTTAGACCACTCAATTCCTTGGACCCTGTAGACAGTAGCCTACTATGCTAAAGTAGGCTGCAGAGGGCAGAACTGTGGGACTGCCTCCTCCTCAAGTTTTCTGTACTTGTAACTAGGTTTATGTCACCATTTATGTGCTAGACTTTTCAAATAGTTGGCTTCTGTTGAGCTTGAAATCAATTTTGAATGAGCTGTATCAACTTAATGGAACTTTTTGTTAACCTAAAATGTTTTATGCCTATGAGTAAGGGGGAAAGAAATTTAGATACCAGTCTAGAAACTACTTGCTTTTCAATCTCTTTCTAGAGCTTTAAATGGAAACCCAAGAGCCTGTCCCACTCACTTCCATTCCCTGTTTTTATTGTATAAATTCTAACCCTGTTCAAAGTTAAGGCCCTTTCTTGCTTAGAAAGATACTGTACTTTAGATGCCAAGGGCAGGGATTCCTCTCAATACTAATAAATTTCACTGTATTTGAATCCTTACATTGCCATTGAGTTAATTTACCTCAAATCCTATTTTAGATGTGATATTTGAAATGAATGAATATTAAATGAATATGTTAATAAACTATTAATCCTGTTTCTTATCACTTTTTCTTTAAAATTTGATCAGTTTTTCTATGCTTTTGAAGTTATTTACAAAATTGTGGAATAGGCAAGCACAAGGTCATGAGTTCGATTTCTGGTACCAGAAGAAAAACAAACAAACAAACAAATTGTGAAATAGTCCAAATTTACAGAAAGACAAGAAAAAAATTTTCATTAAATAGACATAGGTGCATTGTCACTATATTTTAGGTAAAACTATCCTAGGAAATAAGAAATTTTTCTTACACTGCTCATTGTAGTGTTACCCCATTTTAAATATACTCATTTTGTCCATCATTGCGGCGTAAGACATGTCTCAGTTGATATTCTGACATTTGGATACATTCTTGATTTACCTGATCCATTCATTAACCACTTTGTGCCTGATTTTAAATTTACAAAAAGATATTAGTTTTAAATCCTGTATGAACCAAATTAAAGTTAATAGGGCCTTCTGATACTGTATGGGTACTCTTCAGAATTATTTCATTGGGATATAAAGAAGTTAAGGGGCCTCCTGTTCTATTCACATTAATTTCTCCAAAACAATTTGGCATTTCAAAAACAAATGATAATCATATAGTTGGATCCTTCATGATTGTGAAGAGATCTTCTGGTTTTACAATTGCTGCCACGTGGTGGGAAGTAATATGCCTGAAAATGTATATTTGTGTTTGTTTTATTTTTTCACATTTTGTGAGCAAAGCACATTTATTAAAAATTTTAAATTTTCTAGTAAAAAAGATAGTAATAGCACCTGTCTTAAGACTAATATATTTCAAAAAATGACATAAGTATCCAGGACAAGAATTCTTTTTAATAAATGGCAGGCAGCCCAATTAATAGAACTGAGGTGGATTTGGTACACTTAGAGCTCAGTTATTAAAGGAAATCTAATTTAATAACTATTTTCCAAATGAAAATACTTCATCTCAAAGGAATCAACTGATATGCTCATGTCAACATAGCTACTCACAGACAGAATCAGGCCATGAATGCAGTTGCTCTAACTCTACTTCATTCCCTTACATCACCTTCACTTATCTGAATGCAACCATGGTATGTGACAGTTTTCTTAAAAACATGCTCATAAATTATCTGTTTGGTAACCTACTTGATAATTCAGCACCAGGCTATATTTCTATAATCTGTCACCTTAGCCTTTAAATAATTTGAGACAGCATTAGTCCAACATCTGACACTTCCCATAGCAACATCCTAAATTACTGGCAGTGGTTCCTTGATCATATCTGCAAGTTTCTTCAATGTTGTGGCAAGTGCTTCATTTAAGATGTAGATTTTAAGTTCTTTAAAAAAAAACATGTACATGTTCTTTTGCTATCAACTCACTTATCTTCAGTATTTATTTTTATTCTATCTTTATCCTTTTTTAATTGGAAGAACATTTTTTCAAGGTTTATAAGACCAAAGCAAAATACACATCAAAGAGTCTAGGATTTTCCTTACCCTTCATTGTGCTTTCATTATTGTCCTTTCTTTTCTTATTCAGTTCCTTGTTCTGATTATCTCTGATGTCTCTTTGATCAACTTCTTCTTCACTTTATCTTCCCCACTGTAAATAACATAGGTCTAATCTGTCTTGTAAGAATATGTCCCTGTGACATTTCTTCTTATCAATAGTACTTTTAAATTGGAATAGTCCTAAATTCCCTTTTAGGATGTTGTTTCCTTGGAATGCTCTTTTCTTTTATCCCATATATGATTACACAGTTTTACATCAGGATTGTATTTCTTAAAGCTTGCTGAAGCAGATATGTCTCAAATTTTGATTAGTCAGGATCCACTTGCATTTTTCCTAATTTCCATCTAGAACATTGAGTCTCCTCACCAGGAGCAGATTCAATTAAAAGCCTCTAATGAGGAAGACAAGGCAGGAATAGAGGAAGTCCTCCAAGAGCTGAAAGAGTATAATATAAGTGGAAAAGAGGTTTGAAGTGGTATGAATATGGGCTAATGTCAAGTGCTAATAGATATATGCCTAATGCTACCAACCTCTGAGTACCTTTGATCCCTACCCACAGTGTGAGTCCATTCCTCCAACTTGATAATGATGCTACTGAGCACCCAAAGTCTGTGCAGTACATTCTTTGAAGCCAAATAGCTATCAACTGTTGCTTGTAACCAAGTAAATTAATTTCATATACTTTTTTGCTACTTTTATCTTTGAAAGGTAGATTTCCTTAAATGTAATATATTATGATTGATGTTCTTTCTCTGTGTACTACTAATTCTAACATAAGACAGTCTCAAATCCTAGTAATGTAATTTGACCTCAGTGATGCTTTCATTTCTACTATGTCTGAGTCTTGCATAAGAAACTACAGTAGTTTGTTTTATCTATTGGATTTGGAACAAATGTTCTAGCTGAACATCTACTTGTTTCCATTTCTAGCTTTAATTCCTTTATACAACTTTATTTCCCAAAACATAAACCTTTAATTCTCAATGGACGTAGTGTTCAGTATCCTATTTGTCCCTCCTTAGTGGCTTCCACACCCAGAGCAGGTCTCATGATTCAAACAAAAGCAAGACATCATTATTTTAAAGCATAATGCTTGAACACTGAAAACAGTTTGGATCTTATTTGTTTTCAATGTAGTGTAAGAATGATTTTTAAAAGGATTCAAGAGGAAAAGGTGGAACTAGAAAGAGTATCCATTCATAAGACTAAA